CGTCCCTCTGGAATGTAGTTAATGCTGGAGCCAAACAATGATTTTAACCAAGTCAGCCAGAGAGAGAAAGGCAGCGGCTGGAGGAGCTGCCTGGAAGCAGCAGAGTTTGCAGTGTAGTTAGCATTCCCTTCATGTGACTTTGTTCTTGCTCCTCTTCTCCACTTTCACACCGGGGGGGTTGGGGAGCACTGAAGCTCAAGGCTGGAGGAGGTGGGAGCCCTGTGCTTCACACCTTGAGAGGAGTTCAGACTTTTCTCCTGAAGCTGGGGGTTGCGGGCTACAAATGTAATCTCCGCCCCAGCTGTAAATAAAACCCAGCTTGCCAAATTCAAAGCTGAGGCTGGCATTCTGGTCCTGAATTCACACACTGTATTGCTCCTTCTCCACATGCACCCCCACCTCAAGAGAGTGAGTTTAGGAAGTGGAGAGTCAGTCTTCCCTCTGGATTTTCTGGGGTTTTGTCTGTTTGTGCTGCAAGCTACTAATAATTATAAAAAATTGCTCAAAGTTTGTAGTTATTTTTTGATAAACTGTACAAGATTATATACAATACACATTACTTATCTACATCGGGAAAGAGAAGAAAAAGTAATGATTCTTTTTTTAATAAATATGTATTCCTGTATTTTTAATTGTATAAAATCTCTTCTGAGATAGATGCACCAGCAAAGCAGACATTTTAAATCAAGTAATTAAATATGAACTAAGCACATTTAAAAAAAACACACACACCATAAAACCCTGTTGGCTTTGTGGGAGCCATTCTTGTCTACTGTGGAATTCCATTAGGGAGTTTGAGTCTTTATATATAAACTCCTCTTTTCACTCCTTCACTACTTCCTCTGAGCTCTTCTTTCTGCCTGAAACTTTCCATCCTTGGTTTCACTCTAAGATCAATGCTTCTGAGACAGTTTAAGACAAACTCATCCAATAATTTTTGAGGTAGCTGAATATAAAAATATCATTCCCGTTTTAAAAAAATACACTTTTTTTGTTTGCTAAATTTTCTAAGATATTTTGTTAAAATAAATATCTTAATTGTTTACAACTGTTGCTTCAGAAGCCCTGCTTTCTATGATGCAAATCTACATTTAATAGGTTGCTCAAGTGGATTGCTTGTTTGTTTATGTGAATGTCATATTCTAAACAAAAGATGCAATCCTATGAGCTTTACTAATAGCAGGAGGCCCACTGAATTAAAGTATTTTAAGCCTTGCCTACATGAGTGTTTCAGGTAATTCTCTCCTTGTTTGCTGCCCCAGCACCAGTGCAGTTACTCTGATGTTAGCATTGGGGGAGTGGGCGAGGACAGTGGTCTCCAACCTTTGTAATCATGAGATCACTTTTTAAATTTAAGTGCAATCCAGGATCTACCCCAAACCAAAACATGCTTGCCCTGCTTCCTTCCCACCCCTTCTCCGAGGCACCGCCCCTGCTCACTCCATCCTTTCACCCTCCCCCATCCTCACTCACTTTATCAGACTGAGGACAGAAGACTGGGGTGTGGGATAGGGGAATACAGACTCTGACCTTGAGCTAAAAGATCTGGAGTGTGGGAGGGATTCTGAGCTGAGGTAGTTGAGCAGCAGGGGTAATTCAGGGTGCAGGCTCTGGGAGGCAGAAGGACTCAGGGCTAAGGCAGAGATTTGGGGTGCAGGAGAGGTTCAGGACTGGGGCTGGGGTTTGGATGTGGGCTCCAGCTGGGCACCACTTACAACCCAGAAGGTGGCTTCTGGGTGGTGATACAGTTTACCCCTAATCCCAAAAGCAGCCAGCAAACTGTCTCCATCTCTGCCTTCCCCTCTCCCCCAACTATGTGGAGATGGGGTCAGGGCCAGATTAAGGAGGGGTTAGCCGGGCAGCTGCCCAGGGCGCCAACCTATGGGAGGCACCTGATTGAAGTGGTAAGGGGCACCGCATCAGGTGCCTTCCATAGGTTGCCATGCGGGGGCGGGGCCGCACATGTGTCACGCACCCGGGGGCGAGGCGCCCCGTACACATTAAGCAGGTGCCACATGCCCGGGGCAGGGCTGCGCATGCGCTGTGCGCCCACTGCCTGGGATGCAAGAATGGCTCGGGCCGGCCCTGGATGGGGTACAGCGTGGGGGGAAGGGCGCCCTAACTTCAGCACCCTGTTCTCTTCTTCCTGTTCCCTTCACAGCAAGCAAGAAGCTCCCAGGGGTGGGGTGCAGCTCCAGTGGGGAAGGGCGCCCTAACTTCAGCACCCTGTTCTCTTCTTCCTGTTCCCTTCACAGCAAGCAAGAAGCTCCCAGGGGTGGGGTGCAGCTCCAGTGCAGAGGGCAGGAGCAGCAGGGCAGTGTTGAGAGGGGCAGATGAAATGTCAGCACTTGATAGCCTTCTCACCACACCGGTCAGGATCACCTGTCAAAGGCTCCAAGATCTACCAGTAGATCCCGATCTACTGGTTGGTGACCTCTGGGCTAGGAAGTAGCAGCATTTTTGCCACTGTGTGGCTGTGTCTAGGCTGGCAAATTTTTCTGCAAAATCATTTGATTTTGCGGAAAAACTTGCCAGCTGTCTACACTGGCCACTTGAATTTCTGGAAAAGCACTGACGATCTCATGTAAGATCGTCAGTGCTTTTCTGGAAATACTATGCTGCTCCCGTTTGGGCAAAAGTCTTTTTCCGAAAGACTTTTGCTCAAAAGGGCCAGTGTAAACAGCACAGTAGTGTTTTCCGCAAAAAAGCCCCGATCGCGAAAATGGTGATTGGGGCTTTTTTGCAGAAAACCGCGTCTAGATTGGCCATGGACGCTTTTCCGCAAAAAATGCTTTTGCGGAAAAGCATCCTGCCAATCTAGACGTGCTTTTCCGAAAATGCTTCTAACGGAAAACTTTTCCGTTAAAAGTATTTTCGGAAAATCATGCCAGTGTAGACGTAGCCTGGGTGTGTCTAGACTACAGGGGTTTTTCGAAAAAAGTAGCCTTTTTTCAGAAAAAACTTCAACTGCTACTACATTCTTTCAAAAGTAAATAGAAAGAACGCAGCAGTTTTTTCGACCGTGGAAAATCTCGTTTTACAGGAATAACGCCTTTTTTCTAAAGTGCTTTTTCAAAAAAAGGCGCTATGTAATGTAAACTGTGCTTTTTCGAAAGAGAGCATCCAGACTGCCTGGGTGATCCCTTTTGAAAAAGTGACTTGCTTTTTCAAAAGTACTGGTTATAGTCTAGATGCTCTTTTTCGAAAGAGGCTTTTTCGAAAGTACCTTTTTCGAAAGAGGCTTGCAGTCTAGACATAGCCTATGTGTTGGAACATTCCTGGTAGAATGCTCAGAAGCCCTAAAATAAAATAACTTGAATTTAATAGGGCTGCTCAATCAGTTCCAAAATTGCATGCCAATTCTGCAATTGGAACATTATAGACAAACAACTTGCAG